GCTTTAACGCGGGCAAACGGGGCAGCTGCCCCGGCCCAGTTTCTCTTGGGGCCCGAGGCACTCTGCCCCGTGGCCCCGTGGGCCCTGTTGACCCCGGTGGTCGGCAGCAGGAAGGCGGGCGCGCTTAGGGAGCACTCACTGCTTCCTCTTCAGCTCCTCGCGCGCCGCGTAGGGATGCCGGCGCCGGAAGATGACGTCATCTTCCGGCTCCGGCATCAGTGCGGTGCGCGAGGGAGCTGAAGAGGAAGCAGTGAGTGCTCCCTCGCGCGCCCGCCTTCCTGCCCGACCGGCCACCCGCCCGCCGGGGTCAGCAGCACCACTGGACCCCAGGGAATCCCCCCAGCACTCCAAAAGGTAAGGAGGCTGGGGGGGATTACATTTAAAAAAAAAAAAATGTGTGTGTATGTGTTTGTGTGTTAGTGTATGTGTGTGTTTGTGTTAGTGTATGTGTTTGTGTTTGTGTGTTAGTGTATGTATGTGTGTGTTAGTGTATGTGCTTATGTGTGCGCGGTGTGTGTTAGTGTGTGTGTGTGCTATGTGTGTGTGTTGTGTATGTGTGTGTTAGTGTATGTGTGTGTGTGTGTCAAAGTACAAGTCTGCAGTGTGTGTGTCAGTATAAGTCTGTCTGTGTGTCAGTATATATGTGTGTATATATCTGTGTGTGCCGCGCCGCGCGCCCGTCGTGCGCGTCAGTATGTCTGTTAGTGCATGTGTATGCATGTGTCAGTATATCTGTCTGTGTGCCAGTATGTCTGTGTGTGTGTGTGTCAGTATATCAGCTCCTGTGTGTAAGCCAGTGTATGTGTCTGTGTGTGTGTGTCAGTATGTCGGTATATGTGTCTGTGTGTCAGTATGTCGGTATATGTGTCTGTGTGTCAGTATGTCGGTATATGTGTCTGTGTGTCAGTATGTCGGTATATGTGTCTGTGTGTCAGTATGTCGGTATATGTGTCTGTGTGTCAGTATGTCTGTATATGTGCCTGTGTGTCAGTACGTCTACCAGTGTATGTGTCTGTGTGTGTGTCAATATATGTACCTGTGTCAGTGTGTCTGTCAGTGTATGTGCCTGTTTATCTGTATGTAGTCAGTGTATGTATCTGTGTATCTGCTTGTGCGTCAGAGTGTGTACCTGTGCATCTGAGCCGCAACTTTAAATACAAATACACACCTCCATTCAAACTTCAACACTACATATAAAACACACTCCTGCATTGAAACGTCAACACTACATACAAGCACACTCCTACATTCAAAAACAAACACTACACATAAATGCAAACTTGCATTCAAACTCCAGTACCACATACAAACACATTCACACAAACATACTTTATACAAACACATGCTTACATTCAAACATACTAACATGGCTCCGTGCTAAATACAACCCTGCAAGCATGGGAAATTGGTAGAATCCCAGCTGTCAAAGCATTGTTGGAGTTGCACGACAGATGGGGTTCTACCTTTAGTCCAACCTTGCAATTGGGGGTCCCAATAAAATTCATTCTACTTTAGTACCGCCACCGCGTTGGGATGGATGCCGTGATTGCATACCAGGGAGTGAGGGGCGAGAGCGGCAGGGCACAGGGGGCCCAAGCAAACACTTGCCCAGGGTCCATTCGTTATTAAAGACGGCCCTGAATATAGCTTGGTGCTACTTCTAAGTGCTGTTTCTAAGTGTCTAGTTGGAGATATTCTGGAAAGTGCTGTTTCTAAGTGTCTAGTTGGAGATATTCTGGAGAGTGCTGTTTCTAAGTGTCTAGTTGGAGATATTCTGGAAAGTGCTGTTTCTAAGTGTCTAGTTGGAGATATTCTGGAGAGTGCTGTTTCTAAGTGTCTAGTTGGAGATATTCTGGAGATAACCTGGAGGTAATCTGAGGTATTCAGGAGGATAAATAAAGAGTTAAGATTTGTTAGATTTAAATTATTCTCCTAATTGGAATGGCAGACTTCAGTGTAATAGTTGCTATGCATTTGTTTCACGTTCCACTTTTTGGAGGTTTGGTTGTTGTCTAATCTGTAGACAGTTCTCTATCTTGCGGCAGGATATTGTATTTTTGAAGTCTGAGATTTGTAAATTATCTGGTGAAGAAACTCAGACTGGAACTGCTGCAAAGCCACTGCCGCAGAGACATGCTAGGAAAGGCAGATGGATTACTGTAGGATCTGGTAGACTTGTGGATAAAAGCATTTTGCACAGTCTGTTGCTCTTCATAATTCATTTTCTGCACTTTCAGAGTGTAATGGTGTTGTGGAGAGAGGCACTGAGGCTAGTGGTGTTGTGGAGAGAGGCACTGAGGCTAGTGGTGTTGTGGAGACCGGCTTGGAGACTATGGTGAGGCCTAATAGAAAGCAGTTGTTGTTGGGGGATTCCATTATAAGAGGTGTGGAGATGGACAATGGTGGTCTTGTGAGGTGTCTTCCCGGAGCTACTGCTCACAGAGACAGGAGACGTATCTGTAATATTGTTAAGCAAGCAAAGCAGGAAGGGGAATTGGATGTACTTGTCCATCTAGGGACAAATGACTTGGCTTGCAATGAGGTTTCAGAGGTTAAGGAAGTTTTTAGTGTTTTTGCCAATGATATACGGCAGGTTGCTTCCACACTGTCATTCTCTGAAGTTCTGCCTGTGCATAACACTCAGAACGACAGGCGGATGCGTATTAGGGACTTTAATTTGTGGCTTGGTGAATGGTGTCGGGAGCAAGGATTTGGCTTTATTTCTCATGGTAGCTCTGTTTGGAATGGAGATAAGCTGTACAAAAAAAGATGGTGTTGCATCTTTCTCAAAAGGGAACAAATGTTCTCAGTCAGTTCAGAGAACAAATGTTCTCAGTGAGCAGTTCAGAGGTTTTGCTAGGATGTATTTAAACTAGGAGGGGGGGGCAAAAGGGTGATAAAACATCAATCCAATTGTCCCCCAAAACAAGGACAGAAGGTGCCTGTAACAAGTGTGTTAAAAAATGATAAGCTTAGAGTCATGTCTACAAATGCTCGCAGTTTAGGGAATAAGATCAATAAAAGCAATAATGGCAACTGATAGTGTAGATTTAGTTGCTGTTACTGAGACATGGTACAATGAGAAAAATGACTGGGACATAGCAATACCAGGGTACTCTTTATATAGGAACGATAGGGAAGGCAAGAAAGGGGGAGGGGTGGCCTTGTATGATAAGGATATCATAAAATCTAGCCTAATAAAAGTTAGTGAGGCAAACATAGAGTCCGTTTGTGCTACGTTAGAATTTGGTAATCACACAGTAACTCGTGTAGGTGTGATTTATAGGCCCCCAGGACAAATTGAAGAGTTAGTGTGGCGAAACCGACCACACCACTGGGCATTGGAGAAGACTGATTGCCAGCCTCCTGCCATGTGACTATGGCCCCTGGGATGTATTACCCTTTAAAGACACCATTTCATGTATCAGAGGCACATGGTGAGAACAATGGATGGAGCACATGGTGAGAACAATGGATGGCGGCCATTTTAACTCACAGACACTGTTTGGACTTTTCTACACGGTGCCATCTCGCCAGTATTTGGTGCACGAAGACATCGTTCAGTAGTTTTAAACTATACAACAGGGGACACATTATACAGTTATTATTTTTCATATAGCCTGTATATGTTCTGCGGAATCTGCATTAAACTGTATCTTCCAAACTACTGAACGGATCTGGGTGAATTTTGGATATGTGGTTCACCCAGATCCCCCGGCTCCAATGATATATTTTTTATGTGGTTATGGCATGTTTTGGGGTCCCTGTGATGTGTTTTATGATACTGTATTTTTCCTGCTGGTGATAATTATGTTAACCCATTGTGTGACATAATTAGATCACAAGCAGAGGGGAGGATTTTGTGTATAATTGCTGGGAGTGTTTTCTGTAATGTACGTGTGTTATTAGTTGTTCTGTAAAACCCTGTGGGCAGTACTAAGTTTGTGGATTGGGAATAAAAGAGGCTGTATGTGCCAGTCCAGTGAGTTCCTGTTTTAACCCTCAAAGTGAAGTGTTGTCTCATTATTGGGGGAAGGATTTATTGTATGCTGTTCCAGTTTGACTGCTAGGAGAGTAAACCTATTCGTATGGTTCCTATTCAACTGTCTACAGCATTCATATGCTTGAGAGAAGGTATACGCTTCTCTGGTTCGGTGATTGTGGTGTCTGCCAGAGTGCTTGGAGTCCTCAGGAAACGCTAGGAGCATCCTTTAATGGAGGTACCCGGTCGGGGTGCCAGGTGATCCGTTACAGTTAGATAATCTACTAGTTGAGGAAATAGCTAAAATGACAATGAAGGGGGAAGTTATCATGGGTGACTTTAATCTTCCTGATGTAAATTGGAAAACAAAATTAGCTACTTGTGCCAGGAGCACACATATTCTAAACTCCCTACTGGGATTGTCTCTAAAACAAGTTGTTAAGGAGCCAACTCGTAAAGAGGCCATACTAGATTTAGTGTTAACAAATGGAGATTTGGTATCAGATATTACTGTAGGTGAAAGTTTAGGATCCAGTGATCATCAGTCAGTGTGGCTTAATATAAGAACAGTGACTGAGTCACACCACACAAAAACAAAAGTTTTAGACTTTAGAAAAACAGACTTTTCTAAAATTAGAATATGGGTAGAGGAGTCATTATCAGACTGGAGCAATTTAAATGGAGTCCAATAGAAATGGGATTATTTAAAAGTTGCACTATTGAAGGCAACAGAAAATTGCATTAGGCTTGTCAGTAAAAGCAGAAAAATTCAAGAAACCACTGTGGTACTCCGCAGATATGGCCAAAATAGTTAAAAACAAAAAGTTAGCATTTAGGAATTATAAAAAAACCCAGAGTGAGGAAGACAAAATGATCTATAAGATTAGGCAGAAAGAGGCTAAGCAAGTTATAAGAGCTTCCAAATCACACACAGAAGAGAAAATAGCACAGTCAGTAAAAAAGGGGATAAAACATTTTTAGATACATAAATGAGAAAAGAAAAGTAAAACAAGGATTAGTTAGATTAAAAACAAAAGAAGGAAGGTATGTAGAAGAGGATAAAGGTCTAGCTGACTGCCTCAATGAATATTTTTGTTCTGTATTTACAGATGAAAATGAAGGAAAGGGACCTCAGTTGAGAAAAAGGATAAATGAGTCATTTATTACACGTGAGTTTACAGAGGAAGATGTTCTATTTCAACTGTCAAAAGTAAAGACAAATAAGTCAATGGGACCTGATGGAATACTAGCAAAACCATTAACAGATTTATTTAACCAATCATTGTTAACAGGAGTAGTCCCAGAAGATTGGAAGTTAGCGAATGTTGTGCCCATTTACAAGAAAGGTAATAGGGAGGAGTCGGGCAACTATAGGCCAGTAAACCTTACTTCAGTAGTGGGGAAAGTGATGGAAACCATGTTAAAGGATAGGATTGATGAACATCTAAAAACACATGGATTTCAAGATCAGAAACAACAAGGGTTTACTTCAGGGAGATCATGCCAAACTAATCTTATTGATTTTTTTGATTGGGTAACTAAAATTATAAATCAGAGTGGTGCAGTAGACATTGCTTACCTAGATTTCAGTAAGGCTTTTGACACTGTTGCACATAGAAGGCTTATCAATAAACTGCAATCTTTAAGTTTGGATTCAAATATTGTTGAATGGGTAAGGCAGTGGCTGAGTGACAGGCAACAGAAGGTTGTAGTTAATGGAATATATTCGAAGCTTGGACTTGTCACCAGTGGGGTACCTCAGGGATCTGTACTTGGACCCATTCTCTTTAATATTTTTATCAGTGATATTGCAGAAGTTCTTGA